CTAATTAGGCCTATTATATAACTAACTATAACCTTATTAATATAATTAAATTAATATTAATAGAAGCTATAGGCTATAAATACTATAAGTTTTATATAATAGCTATAGCTATTAAAAAGAACTTCTTATTAAAGAATTAATCTAGCTTAATTAAAATAGCTATTTTTAATTATATTTTAATTAATATAATTAATTATATAGATTTAAATATTTTAAGTTATATAATATCCTTAAATTAATTAGCTAAAAAGCTATTTTAATTAAAAGACTTAAAAAAAGCTATAAAGTAAAGTAGGATTTTAATAACTAATTAAATTACCTTTTTAACTGCCTTTTTAGACTTAGCTAGCTATAAAGAGTGGCTATAAAATGTAATTATTAAGGCTAAATATATATTTAGCTTTTTTCTGCTTATAAAAAGGTTAAGAATAAATATAAGGTAATAGTAAGGTTAAACTAAAGGTTTAAAAGAATTAGGTTAACTTTTATATAAGTTAGTTAATAAAAGTTAAATTAACCTAAAGTTAATAATAACTTTATTACTTAAATATATATAACTAAATATATAATTAATTAACCTTATATTTAAAAATAGAAAAAGTAATATTAATAAAGAAATATAATTTAAATTAAGGATATTATTTTATAATTTAATTTAATTTATTATTAATTTATCTTTAATTTTAATTATTACTTTTTTATTAATATTACTTTATTTTTATTTTTATATTAAAACTAATAACCTCTTTATTATAATAACCCTTTTATCTATATTAAAAAGCCACTCTTTATATATATTTAATAGACCTATAAAGGCAATAAGGAATATAGCCTAATTTAATTTAAGGAAATAACCTTTTTTTAAGACTCTCTTTAGGTCTTTTAGACTCAATAGCTTATAATTAACTTAAATTAAATTAATTAAACTAAAATAGCTAATATAATAAATTAACTTAATTAAATTATAATTAAAAATAGCTATTTTAATAAGGTTAAATTAATACCTTAATAAAAAGTTCTTTTTTATAGTAATTATTATTATATAATTTTTTTTTTATTTTTTTCTATTAGCTTTTTTTAATATAGGCCTAATAGCTATCTTAAAGTTATAGCTAATTATATAATAGGTATAATTATATAGCTATAGGCTATTTTATATAATAAGTATTATATTAATAGCTATAATTAATAAAAAGAAAGTTAAATTAAAGAATATACTTTATAATAGACTTAACTTTATACTTTTTTAAATATAATAAAGAAAGAAGGCTAATATAGCTACTAAAAGGCAGTATTAATATTACTTAATTAAGGCAATAATTATAGTATTAAGGTAAATAAACTTTATATAATTTTAACCTTTAAGATATAGGCCTACTATAAAGGCCTTATTATTTAAGCCTAAAAAGGTAGCTAAAAAGATAGCCTAATTAGCCTATAGGCTATTAAATATAGGCATTATAATAGTAGCTATAATTAATATTAATAACTATAATTAATAATTAAGTTAGGGAATATACTTAAGTATAATAAATTTAGCCTAATATATTAAAAAGGTTAATTTAAAATCTTTTAAGTAAAATAAAAAAAGAAGGCTAAAATAGCTATTAAAAGGTAATATTAATACTGCTTAATTAAGGCAGTAATTATATTATTAAGGTAAATAAATCTTATATAATTTTAACCTTTAAGATATAGGCCTATTATAAAGGCCTTATTATTTAAGCCTTTAAATAAAAAGTTAAAAGCTTAATAGCCTTATTAGGCTAATAATAAAAATTTTTAATTTAATAATTTTAAATTAAAAAAAAGAAATTTATTTATTAAAAAGTTAAAATATTTTTATAATAATATATATAAAATATAGCTAATTAAAATNTATATATATATATTTAATTAATAGATATTTATTAAGTATTTTTTTTTTTTTTTTTCCTTATTATTAACCTAATAAGGCTATTAAGCTTTTAACTTTCTATCTAAAGGCTTAAATAATAAAGCCCTTATAGTAAGCCTATATCTTAAAGGTTAGAATCTTATAAGGTTTATTTACCTTAATAGTATAATTACTGCCTTAATTAAATAGTATTAATATTACCCTTTAGTAGCTATATTAGCCTTTTTTCTTTACTCTAGCTAAAAGACTAAAATATTTCTAATTAACCTATTTAATATATTAGGCTAAGTCTATTACACTTAAGTATATTCCTTAAGCTAACTTTCCCTTAATTTAGTTAGTTTGGTTTTAGTAGCAGTTATAAAGGCAACTTATATACCTATTAGTTATAGTTATTAATATTAATTAAAGCCACTATTATAATACCTACTATATATAATAGCCTGCAGGCCAATTAGGCCTATTATATAATTAATTATAACCTTATTAATATAATTAAATTAGTGCTAATAGAAGCTATAGGCTATAAATACTATAAGCTTTATATAATAGCTATAGCTATTAAGAAGAACTTTTTATTAAAAAACTAATTTAATTTAATTAAAATAGCTATTTTTAACTATACTTTAATTAATATAATTAATTATATAAATTTAAATATCTTAAGTTATATAATATCTTTAAATTAGCTAGCTAAAAAGCTATTATAATTAAAAGACCTAAAAGAAGCTATAAGGTAAGGTAAGACCTTAATAATTAATTAGGCTACCTTTTTAACTGCCTTTTTAGGCCTAAATTTAATTAATTATAAAGAGTAGCTATAAAATATAATTATTAAGGCTAAATATATACTTAACTTCCTCTTCCTTATATAAAGGTTAATAGGCTAGTTATAATTTAAAACTACAAAAATAAAGCTAAAATATATATCTATAAATAGAATTTTAAAATAAATATAAGATAATAATAGGATTCTATAAAGATTTAAAGGAATTAAATTAACTTTTATATAAATTAATTAGTAAATACTAAATTAACTTAAAGTTAATAATAAATCTACTAATTAATTATATATATTAAGGTATATAACTAATTAACCTTATATCTAAAAGCTATAGATAAAGTAATATTAATAAAGAAGTAATAGTTTAAACTAGGGTTTTATTAAGTATATATTACTTATAATTATTTTTTTAATTATAATTAAAGTTAATATTTTTAATTTAATATAATTAAAATAAAAGATTTATTAATAATAAAACTTATTAAATTTATTAATAGTTTTATAATTATTAATATAAAATTGTTTTTTTTTTAAAAAAAAAAGAAATTAAAATTATAAAAGATTTATAAATTTAATAAGGCTTTTTAAAGCTTTTTAATTAATTTAATAATATATTTATTGTAATTAAAGTTACTTAAAATATAATAGCTTAAAGGTAATTTTATTAATTAAATTTATTAAGACTTTAATTTAGCTAAAGACTTTATTATTAATACTTTTATAGCTTATTAAAATACTTAAATTCTATATATTAATTATTATTAAGTTAAAGCTATATAATAAGTAAAAAAATAATAAATTAAATTAAAAAAAACTATTAATAAAATAAAAATATATTAATAATTTTATAATTTTATTTTAATTATATTTAATTAAAAATAATTACTTAAAAAAATCTTTTTTTATAATAATAATTTAATAATAAAGTTAATTAATTTTTTACTATATAATATTAAAACCTTTTAAAGTTTATTATAAAAGTCTATTAAATAGAACTTTTATTTTTAAGTTTTAATTAAAATAATATTATTATAATTATTTAATTATTATTAATTTATTATAATATAATATTAAAAGATTAAAATATCTTTATAATAATATATAAAATATAATTAATTAAAGTCTTAAATAAAAAATTAATATAATAAAATACTTATTTTTTAATATAATATAATATAAAGTATTATATATTATATTAAAAAATATAATAACTTTAATAATAAGTTTTAAAATTATATAATTATTTACTATAAACTTTATAATTTAATTAAATAA